GGAATGTGGTTTGTCTAGTTGTGCTACTATTGGTGGGAAGTACGGGAGCAGCAGATCAATATCAAAATTCAGCAAGAGGAAGAGGAAAACCTAGGCCAGTTTGGTTTAAGCCTCATGGTCAGACATGAGGACCGGGACGGGATCAGGAGGATTTGGGCTGGGTGAGATTCTCAGTCTCGTAGATACGGTCCATCCTTTTGAGTTGGGCCAAGATCGGAAAGCTCATGACAAGTGGTCCAACATTGCTCCAATTAGCATTTGCCACCATCGGTAATGTTTTCTTGGAGGCGTGGAAGACTCATAGATAAATGAGTAGGCACAAACATAAGTCCAAGACAAGCTGGTTTGTTTGAATATGCTATGAGCCGGTGGGCTGACGAGCTGAATGTTACAAGGTGGAAGAAAACGTCATTTTTTTCCATCTTAAAAAGCGGTATCGTAAATGGCGACCATTTGGGTGGAAAAACATTTGTGTGGAAAGACAACCATTGGTTAATTTCAGTACCAAGGCCAATTTGCTGCTGTAACAGGGGCAATTTCTGTAAGAAGGACAACGGGACTGCTAGAAGAGCTGATGATAAACCAGGAGTTGCTGTGAGGAAGCGTGTTGTTTTATGTAACAAAGGAACACCTTTTTTTCCCAAAAGGTATCACAAAATACCATCATAAAAGACAACGGTTGGTTGTTATTTTCCACATTGGACAGCTTGGACCTATACTGAAAAATCATGGGATCACATGTGTTTGGCATCAGGTGTCATGTGCCCTTTGTCCGGCAGTGATGGGATTTGTCATGGTCCACGGGTTTGAAGCTATGTTGGAAAATATGCGTCTGGCGTATCAGACGCGTACCGACTAAACCGTGACGTACATATGCTATACGCTGGAATTCCAGCCTCAGGTTTTCTTTGAATATGCTCTGTCGGGCAGGGAAAAAAACTTTTGGGCAGGGGGAAAAAAGAATTTCCCAAAGGGAGAGACGGTTTGCATACTGATTGTTTTTGGCCGCTTCGAAAAATGTGACGCACGGGAAATCGTCTAGGTTTAGTATTGGAGATGTAGGAGGTCAACTGGATCTAAATATGAGATTGACCTCCAATCCAATGTCGAACTTCCGGATTTGAAACCGGTGGGGTTTTGTAGATCCTGTGCGGTGAAGATCGGTTATGCGGGGGGGGTCTGTTGGGACAACATACTTTGGCGAGTTTGTGGAATAGTGATCCACTAAAAATCCGTTTTCAAGGAATTGTACTCCTTCTCCTCACGTATTCTCCTACACTCCTATTTCTACCAAGAATTTCTTATTCTCAAGATCGTTTGTTATATCCCCCCCTTACCCCCGCCGCACTAGTTAACGAGTGGCGAGTCTGAGCCCGGAACAAAATAAAGGCCGAGTTTTGATTGGCTGATTTTTGTTTTCAGCCGGCAGCCTGTCGAAATGTATCGCTATTTGTCCCGTATCACGTTTTTGTCAACTGGCGTTGACTCACCCATACGTAGACGGATAAATATGATACGCTACACTACCTTAGCATTTTTCCCAACATAGGTTTGAAGCAGCCTGGTTTGCCACCAGGAACCATGTTACTAGTGCTTTGACTAGGTCTATCCTGTCTATTATCTTTCATTTTCACTGCAGTGATGTTAGTTGGAACAATCTCATTGGCCAGCTCCCCCCAACAGTAGGCAAACATGGACTTTCGTACCTGTAAGGCATCTTGGCATATTGAAGTGTTGCAATTTCTATCATGGCAACCTTGAAGCTTTTTACAAAGAGAACGTATTCCACTGGTGTACCATAGGCAAGAATGTATTGCAGCCACAAGCATTCTAGGGAACAAGGGTATAACTGGACTGGCCCAACCCAATCCTCTTCAGCCCGACAGCTATCGAACCGGGCTGGTACAAATGACCCATGTATGGTTTACTGAAAATTTCAACATGTAAGAAAACTTGCCTTAGTAGAGTATGCTTGTGTTTATCATACTTCAGAGAATTTCACTCAGAGCGGAAGCCTGTTGGTGAGTGATAACTTGAGAACGTCGATGTGGACATGCAGGAACATATCTTCGACGGAAATCACATGCCCTCCTGACTACAGCAGCTGCGTCGTCCCACAGAAAGCTTCAGGTGCTTTCTGTAGGCAGTGTGGCTCCTTCTGCACCACATGTGACAAGCCACAACCAGGTGAGACGCTCCTCATACATGTAGCTGCTATTTGTACTGCCCATTTTTACTTTGCTCTCATTAGTGCTGAGTGGATGAATAGTGGATTGCCTCCTACTTAACTAGCTTTTCCAGTGTTAGGCACAGTAACAAACACAGCTTGGCTATTCATTATGTGCTTCTGTTGCATGTCTTTTACTGAAGAAAGCATGTTCGAACCCTTCAGTGTCTTCCTTTGCTTCCTCTCCCCAATCAAGTTGTGCCGGATGCCACATCCACTTTCACCAAGCCCACCGTCATCCCCATGTTTGATTGCCTTATCCCTTCCCTATCACTGTCTTTCTACCCTCTCCATCGCCAGTGCCAACACCCTCCCCACCACCAGTGCTAAAACCCTCCCCACCAGTGCCAAAACCCTCTCCACCTCCTCCCACGTCAACTCCCAGTGAGCCTACAACCGACCAGTCTGGAGGCAGTTTATCCATGGGAGCCATTGCTGGCATTTCTGCTGCTGGCACTGTGGCCGTCCTCGTGCTGCTGCTGCTGCTGACCTGGCTGCTGTGGAAGCAGTTCTGCACCAAAGGGGCAGCAGGAGGAGGCGATTTCAGCACCAATGTTGATGGCAAGAAATCAGGGAACAACATTTTGTTTCAAGGTAAGATGTTTCTGTAGACGCTTAGAATAGATCAAGCATTTTTAAGGCAAACGCCGGGCAATCGAAATAAAATCGGAGTATCATCAAGACCAGAAGCTCACAAACAAATCCAATCATGTGAACCTTATTCTTGGGGTGCGGTGCTCTATCCCATGGAAGTGCCTGCGGTGGCACTATCTTCTGCTTGCCGTTCTATACGAAATAGGCATGACGAAATGACAAAACCAAATTGGTTCGTTTTTTTTTTTTAACTCAAATGCGAACTGGCTTGAGGTCAGAGGAAATTGGTCCTAGTCGAACTGGTGAGTGAATTGCCTAGTTCCAAGATTTGAATATCAGGTCTGGTCGAACCGGGCAGGTTTGGTTGAAGGGGAAAGATTCAGGCTAGATTTTTGGGTCGGGGTTCATTGCCATGCCATCACACAGCCACACATCTGTGGTGTCGAGATGGCAGTATGAAGGTTGACAAATGTTTTCACCAAGGATGTGACTGAGTTCATTCTCTCGCAGACAATTCGTCCAGCCTTAACCTTGACTTGCCAGGATTCGTTGAATAACGCCATGGTGCTTGCTGGTCCTTCCTGGGCCGTTAGCAAACAAAAGTAGGTGGTTGGGGATCTAAGGCCCCTTCGTTCTGTTCAGAGTATCTACTCCATCTTCTCCTTCTCTTCCATCAACTCCCTCATACCATTGCAGGACCAAATGATGAGGATGAGGATCCAGCAGCAGCAGCAGCAGGGGAGGCCGCAGCAGCTGCTGCAGCAGTGCTTCCATTAGCAGCAGCACAAGGGAAGCAGGGTGATGGTGTTGTGATAGAGATGGAGGCAGCACGGCCATATGTGTGTCGAGAGTACTCTCTGGCAGAGCTGGCCAAGGCCACAGGAGAGTGGGCAGAGGGGAACAGGATAGGAAGTGGCAGCTTTGGGGATGTTTACAAGGGTGTGTCGCCCCACGATTGCAATCAAGCCTGGGCAGTCAAACGAGCACGAGTGCTCACCAACGACTTCCAAAGAGAGGTATCATGGTGTGAGTTTCTGTTAAAAAATTAGTGCCACATTTCTTGTTAGTTTCTCCTGCCAACTCCAAGTATAACTGGTGGTCTGATGATTCAATCTCCTTTGTTCTGTTTTCCATCGCAGGTGAAGGAGATGGCAAGCAAGCACCATCCACATCTCGTGCGTTTGTTGGGCTATTGTATCGACCTTGAACTCTCCACCCGACTCATGGAGCAGATTCTCATTTACGAGTTCATGCCCAACAGCGACCTCGAGAGCTGGATCGGTCCTGGTGTCTCCCACCCTCTTTCTCTTCGCCAGAGGCTTGATGTTCTGATTGGAGTGGCAAAGGGGTTGCAGTATCTTCATGACTTCGGCATTGTGCATCGCGATATCAAGCCAGCCAACATTCTCCTTGATGCAAAAATGCAGGCACGTCAATGTAGTTCTAAGCCCGGCTGTGCATGCTGTAAGATGCCTACACTTATCCACCCGCTTTCGACTATCAATTGGTGTTTTGAATCGTCTAGCATGCCCCTCATCTTGCATACTAGTGCTGTTATTGTCCATGGGCAGGCCAAGATTGCAGACTTCGGGCTTGTGAAGCTTGGTGGGGGCACCGCTATGGGCACGTCTGTGGCCGCCACTCGAGTGATGGGAACACCGGGCTATGTGGACCCTGCCTATTTCAAGACTCACAAGGCCACTCCAGCAGCAGATGTGCACAGGTAAGCAGATTGGCGCAGGTGAGGAGAGTAGGCCAGGCTAGCAATTTTGTGCAGATTAGTATATTGGCATGAGAAAACCGTGATGAACGGCAGATGAGCATACTGGCATGAGAGTAATATTCGGGCAGGCTTCCAGAGTAGATGAGGAATGTTCATGAGTTTCTGCTTCTTCTAGGGGGGTTAGATTTAGGTTTGGGCTTGGAATTCTTTCTTTTTTTCCTTTGCCTCACACTCAAAGAAAGCCCATGCCTAACATTGAAGCCATTTCCAGGCATGTTTGACCAATCAAGTAGCTTGGTGAAACTTGGTTACCTGAAGATGGCGCTTGGGTGGCAATTGCTTGTGGAATGATAGGGAAAACAATTACCAGTGTGACTATAAGGCGTTTGTACATTTGAGCATGATTTCAAGTGTGTTGCCTTTTTTTTTCGCTTGGGTTGCAGTTTCGGCGTGGTGATGCTGGTGGTTATCACGGCTCGCAAGGCTGTGCATGTAACAGAGGACAATCAGATCAATCTCAAACATTGGGTGAGACACAGTGAACAGTATCATACCAAGGATGGCTGATCTTTCAGCAAAAGGTATGAGAAAGCCAGCTGCACTACGAGGTGAGTTTGCTTGCTAATACTAAATTCTCAAGGTTTTCTTGTTGCCGTCAGCTGAACATATGAAGGCCAGATCATGTTTTATTAACCTTATTTCCCAAGGTGACACATGCTACAAAATTTTCCTCTCTGTGTTACCATCCATTTCACAGGTTCTCTCTTATGGTGTATCTCAGTTTGTGTCATAGAAACAATTTGGGTCATCCGAGGACCACAGACTGAGATACGCCTTAATGTAAAACTTTATGGACCTTTTCTATGACAAATTCCATGTGGTGTATGCATTCAACCTCACAGATGGCCCCGTTGGTGGACTCCGGTGCTGTATTGGCATTCAAGGACCCCCACTTGGACGCACCACATGGCTTGGTGCTGCGCTGGGCTCGCCTTGCCCTCTCCTGCACCGCCATGCCTGCATCCTCCCGACCCTCCATGAATCAAGTGCTGGGAGAGCTGGTGAAGTTGAAGCAGGAGGCGTTCGGAGCACATGAGAGCCATGTGGGCGAGGCCACATCTCGCATAGACATGGAGATTGGGAGTTCCACTGGCTCCTCCACCTTCACAGCTGAAATGGCCCTTGTGGAGCGCGAGGGCATGCCAAGTGGCTCTTCCATGTAATTATGTCACATGCACCTTACTGGTTTGCCTAGGGCTTCTGGTACCATTGGTTTGTGCCATATGAAAACATACATGGGGCGAGCTATGGCCTACTGATAGAGGTTTTTGAGGGGACACTATTAGCATCTTTGCTGGCCAGATAGATGGAACAAGATTGAGCTAAGTACACTAAAAGCAGTAACTGTAGCTTTGGCATGTAAAACTCTATGAACCTTTACTATGACAAATTCCATGTGGTGTATGCAGTCAACCTCACGTTTTCTTAACTTCTTTGCTGTTGCGTGCCTGATTTTTGCTAAATGGTAAACTTCTTTCATCTTCAAAACATGATTTCTAAATGGAAACAAGAAGCCTTTTCTGCGGCAGCAACAAACATCAAGCTCGTAAAGCACTACACTAAATGATATAGCAACACCTTTTCCACCCCACATATCTATCCTGCAAAGCATCATATTGTCCATCTAGTCTGTGCATCCAGACATTATCCACCTCTGTTCAGTGCCTTGTCATCTGCTACGCATAGGCGAAAAAGGGTTTGATCTCTTCACAGCCCTTTCATTTGCAATGCCCCGTCAGATGCGGTAGGGGAAGAGCCTCATGGGAGGAACGAAACCTGGCGACAAAAAAGTGAGTAGTAAGGGGTTTTGAAAGAGAGTGGGGAGAATAATACCGTAATCTCTCAGCAATAAGACCAGGGGGTTCAAAAAGGAGTTACATGAACACTAATGAAGGGCATATATATTTAGACCCATGAAAGCCATAGAATTGCTAAGGGTTGTGAAGTGGGGGGGGGGGGGGGGAAGGGGGGGGGGAGGGATGGGGGCTGGAGGGGAATGGAGGCCCAAATCGACATGCAAACAGCAATGGGAAAGTAATACCGTAATCTTCCAGCAATAAGACCCGGGTTCAAGAATGGGAGAGCGGGAGATGGACTAGGGGGTTGACCCCAAGAATGGAAGCGAGAGAAAAATACACAGTAACAGACTAAGAGAGGAGACCGTGGTGATGGATACGTGCACTATTGGCAAATATATACTTCAAGACGGAAGGGGGAAATCAAAAGGGGCGGTAGGAAGAGGGGGGGACGAGGGGGGAAAGGGGAGGGGAGGAGAAGGGGTAGGAAGTGGAGGCTCACATTGCTGTGTGCTGCTGAGAGAGGAAAGGGAAATCAGGTCACAGCAAGGGGGTTGGGAAGTGTGTTATGACTTGTAAAGATGATGATGAGCAGTGCGCCGAGCACATGTACCTCGTGAACCCCATGGCTGACTCATCTGCCCATGGCTGGCTGACCAACCCATGGCTCACTGACTGAACCAAGGCTGACTAACTGATCCATGAGTGACTGACTGAATCATGGGTAATCGACTGAACCATGGCTGGTGTCTGACCCGTGGTTGACTAGCTGACCCATGGCTGACTGACTGAGACATGGCTGACTGACTGGCCCATGGATGACTGACTTGCCTATGACACTAACTGACCCATGGTTGAATGACTGACCCATGGCTTACTAACTGACCGATGGCTGACTGATTGATGGCTGACTGACTGACCCATGACTGACTGACTGACCCATGGCTGCCTGACTGACCCATGACTGACTCACTGACTGACACATGGCTGACTGACTGACCCATGGCTGACTGACTGAACCATAGCTGACTGACTGACCCATGTCTAACTGACTAACCCATACCTAACTGACTGATCCATTGCTGGCTCACTAAACCGTGGCTGACTGACTGACCCATGGCTGTCTGACTGACACACAGCTGACTGACTGACCCACAGCTGACTGACCCATGGCTGACTCACTGACCCATGGCTGACTCACTGACCCATGTCTGACTGGCTGACCCATGCCTGACTGACAGACCCATGAATGACAATGACCCATGCCTGACTGATTGACAGACCCATGACTGACTGACTGACCCATGCCTGACTGAATGACAAACTAATGGCTGACTGACTGACCCATGCCTGACTTTTCCCAGATTCCGGGCAGCAAATGATCACGTCGGCATCCGGGAGGTGCACGGCATTCTCAAAGTATACAGCTAGTTTCACTTTCAAGCCATCTAAATGAGGGCAAAAAGGCTCCTCTCTCATACGTTGCCACTCTTACTCTCCCTGTATAACCCTCTCTCTGTTTCCCACTTTCCCTGTCTCCTTGTATCTCTCTGCTTCCTCTTCCTGCACCCTCTCCATACCCCCTTCACCATCCATGTGGGCACGACAGCAACGCTAGCAGGGGTGTGCCAGGCGCCACTCACATCGGTGCTGCTCCTCTTTGAACCCACGCGTATTTATAGCATCATCCTGCCCCTCATGACTGCTGTTGGCATCGCCACTTGGATTGCAACTCCTGTCTCCACGCCACCCACACCACCATCATTACCATCGCTGACAGCAGCAGCAGCCACAACAGCAGCAGCAGCAGCAGCAGCAGCCGCAGCAGTGGCGGAATCAGCAGCACCAACCAACCCATACTCATACACATGCAACATTGTAGCAATAAACCTCATCCCCCGTGCCACCCCTCTCAACCTTCCTAGACTCCAAACCCTCTGTTCCCTCCTCTCCTCGCTCACCCCTCCCCACGCCTCCCTCTCACCATCTCCCCCCCTCCCCCTCCAAATGACTTGACAGATTCCTCAGACGACTCACCGTTTCTGGAAGTGCAGGATGGGATGCTGGTGTAGGAGCAGGTGTTAGCGTTAGCCCTCAATCTCACATTTTGTACTCGCACTTCTTATATCCAAAAGGAGTGTAGTTTGCACTTTGTGTCTGGTTGGGTGTACACCCACATCCCAATCAAACCCAAATAAGATCTCCAAGCAATCTCTAACCCACCAATTGGAGATTGCCTTAAGATTGCCCCCAATCTCTAGAGATTGCCCCCGATTCCCTTCCCCATCCAGTCCTAGCTCATATGGATGGACTTTAAGAGCTTCAAGCTTATTACTAATGCATGGCAGGTCGGGCGGACTGGTGTGGAACAGGAGTATATATTGAATGGGGGCGCCCTGACAGACTCCCCTCTATAATGCGATTGATGAGGTAAAAGGTGTCACACTTCATAAGTTTGATACCTACATCCCTATTATCAGGGCAATTTAGTAATGCAGCCTACAGCAGGGGCAATGTACACTTTGAAACAGGTTCCTCCAAGGATGATCTAGTATGCAGAGTAGCACAGAACGATATCCCAACCTGAAAGCATTTTCTCATCCTAAATCACAAAAGCTTTGTTCTACAAAAGCATGGGGCAGAACCAGGGCCCAAAATTGGTTTAGGCCTACCCTTACAAATCAGGGTTCCAACCCCTCCTTTCCCCAACCCCCCTAGGGTAAAACTTTTAGTACCTTGTTTGCAGCATGGTAAATCAACCACTAGCATGATTTGAGCAGGGTAGTTTTAGGCCAACCCTGTTTCAGTTACTATTTTGTGAGCTAAGTTATTTACAATGACATAATAAAGTAGCACTCACAAAGTCCATAAGCTCTGGAAGAGCATCACATTCACAACACACCTACTCAGTGCCACCCCCACTGCCTACTACTTCTACAAACTCGATGTCGCCTCATTGGGTGAAACAACCAATGAGGCGACATGGCGTGTTGCCGACAACGAATCTTGGTTTTATGCTGTTGGGCTGAGAAAAGCCCTTAGGATCTTTGCAGGGCTAAACTCTGAGTAGGAAGTTGTAATAGCGGAAGCGTTTAATGATAAGTCCTTGAACCACCTTGCGCTGGTATGTGAGGGCAAAGTAGATTGATTAAAAGAAGGAAATACAAGGTTTTTATAAGAGTACAGGGAATACGAAGAGATACAACCAATAACTGTTTTACTGTTGCTGTTGCGGTTCAATACAATGCCGACTCGGGCAACTGCTCAGTAACGAGTCAATTGTTTGTCCTTGCTATCGCGCTGCATTCGTCAGGTCAAAGGTCACTGACTTTTGACTTTCGCGTAACCTCCAGCGGTTGCTTTTCTTCTCAACCTCCAAGTGTTGACTCGCCGATGCTTTGTTGTGCTTCGCCTTGTTTACGACTTAGTGTTTCGCCACACAACAGAAGTGCTTAAATTACTTGTTTCCAACACTCCCCTTCACTTCTGGAGTGTCGCTGCTGGTGACGTGGCTTTGTCCAGTTAGCAGCATGCAGTACTCGAACTTCTGCTTTCCAAGTTTCTTGGTCAAGTAATCAGCTGCCATCTTAGACGTGGGACAGTAAGACAGCTCGAGTCTCCCCTTCTCGATCTCGTCCTTCATGAAGAAATATCGCAAGGCGATGTGTTTCGTCCTGTTCACGAATCCGTTTTTATTCGCGAGGCGTATTGCTGACTGGTTGTCGCAGAACAGAGAGAAGCTGGGTAACTGAGCCAGCTTCGCTTCTTCCACCAGTTCGCGAAGGTACAGTCCTTCCTTGGTGGCTGAGCAGAGTGCAATATATTTTGCTTCAGCTGACGAGAGAGCAATTAACTCTTGTTTGCTCGATTGCCACGAGATGGGCCCGATAGGTTCGAATGGGTAGACGAAGCCAGTGTGCGAGCGCCTGTTTTCAGAATTGTTGGCGTGATCAGCGTCGACATAGCCGATTAACTTAGGTGTTGTAGTTCCGGTCTTGTGGTAGGTTAGGCCAATCGTCGGGGTGTTGACGAGGTAGTGAAGGGCGCAGTCGAGCTCCGCCATATGTTCCGCTTCAGGTTTCTTGAGGTAGGTGGCGAGTTGACTTGCAGAATATGATAGATCCGTACGGCGGGTAATGGCTGCGAAGAGGAGGCATCCCAGCTTTCTCTGGTAGTCGCGTATGCCTGCGGGCTTGAGCGGAGCGAAGCCTTCCTTGTGACTTCCAGTGGTGTAGCGGTATGGCGCGGAGATGACGGTCGGGGTGAGTCCAAAGCGTTTGGCGATGGTGTCGGCGCATTTCGCGGCGCTGAGGTAGATTGCGTTCTCTTCTTCCTGAATGCTGAGTCCGAGGTATTGCGTTACGGTA